GCTTCTCCCTCTGACCCTCCTCCCTCTCATGCTCTCTGTCTCTCATTCTCTCTCTCTCAAATAAATAAATAAAATCTTTAAAAAAAAAAAGAAAGAGCAGAGAGAGATGCAGTGCCCAGAGCCACATCAGTCGGTGAGTCACAGAAGCACAGCTGTCAGCACGGGCAGCGTGCCCGCGACACGGGGCCCCTGCAGGTGCCGGGATGGCAGCCCCGCCCCGCAGCGCTTCTCGTCCCCGCAGAACGCAAGCACCGGGCCCGGAGACCGCACGCCACAGCCACAGAGCGGGACGATGCGACTTACACGCCGGCCTTCGGAACATCCTAAAGGCCGGATTCTAAGGGCATCCTGGCCACAGAGAAGGCCGGGGAGGGCACACAAGCGTCCCCTCTGGCAGCCTGCGGCAGGAACGCGTCACATACACCCGCTGTGCAGCAGTAACAGATACGGTCTCATCTTCTCCAGCAAGTACAGACCTTTCTTACTTTCTTTTTCAAATAACTCAACTGAAAAATGGGAAGCTACATTTACTTGGTTTCAGTGTATTTCAGTAAACTTAACCAGCTACGCAGAACTACCTACTGAGGCAGATTTAGTAACACAAAATAAAACAGAAAGCAAGGCCGAGAGCGCACCCTCCCTGGGTTACTGCTGTGCAGGACAGCCACGTAGAACCCGCGGGGCTAAAGAACACACGTGCTGTTTGGAGGACACCCTGCACCTCGACGTCCTCTGGCGCACAAGGACCCTACCAGAAAGGCAGCGTGCACGCCGGGTCACTGGAATGAAACCACCACCCTCGCCCGCCACAAGAGCAACACCAAGAAACTGCCACCTCTGCAGAAGTTCACATGGTGGAAACTTCCAGAAGCGACCAACTTCGGGGCTCACACTAGGAGCCACAGAAAGACAACCATTTTGCTCTAGAGGAAATGTTCAGGTGACCACTGCAGTGAGTCCGGTTTCAGCAGCTTCACAAGACAGACCTTTGGCCCAGGTCAGCAGGGGTCTGAGCTGGAGGAAAACAAAGATACACAGGTGGTGCCATGACAGTGAGTGACCGAGGCTCCCGTGGGGGCACTGTTCTCCCGTCCGCGCAGGAAACAGCCGGCCTCATCTCGGCTTCCCACCTGGGCAGCCCGAAGCCAGGCCAGCCACACCCGCCCTCAGGCAAGCATCCTGCTCCGTATTCCTGTGAGCGCTCCCACTTCGGAGGCGACCTTCCACCTCGCGGTACCATCTACTCTGAAGTCCTCTGTTCCCCCCGACCCAACACGGAAACGACTCTCACTAGTCATCGGCCTCCCCCAGGGACCTCTTCAGTTTCTGTCCCACAAAACCCTGCACACTCCATGTGACGACTGTCCCCCTGCCACCCTCACAGACCCCACTCAGCTTAATTCTGCAGCAGGCTTCCCTCCCCAGAAACCCAGAAGCCCAAGGATCCTGGCCTCAGTGCTTGCCTCTCACTCTGGGCTTTCCAGGGACGAGTGCATCCCTGGTCCAGGCCAATCCCCCCAAACCACATCTGTGATACACAGCCACCTGCCAGAATCTCCCCCCAGCCATCTCGTGGGGACCTCAAACTCAGCACACCTGCGCAGGACCTCCTTCCCAGCCCGCCGCCACTTCCCACCCTATTCACGGGGCAAGAAGCCTGGTGAATCCACTTTTACTCCCCACCTTCCTCCCGCAAAGCTGCCCACCCAGTGCAGCAGTCATCCTAACGTGCGCCATCCTGCTCTGACCTCCCCCACCTCAAGCCTCCTTCCCTTTGATTTCCCCTCCCCAAACGCATCCCTCAGATGAACGAACTCGACACAGCCACATCCTTCCCGCACCTAACACCTTCGGTGGCTCCTCAGTACTTTCAGGAAAAAGCCAAGCATCCTCTGTAGGAGCGCAAGCCTCTCCTTGTGCCCCCCCCATCTGCCTCTCCTGGGCCCCCCCCGGCAGCACCGGCCTTCCCCACCATCAACACCGCAGGCGCCTCCAGCCATGCTTCCCCTAGCTAAGCCGCCGCCCTGCTGCCCTGCTGCCCCGGGCTCCCTCCTCCAGGACACTGCTGCTGACAGCACCCCGTCTCCTGGCCAGTGAAGAGTCCTCCTGCGGGCCCCCACAGCCCCTGGAGGAACAGGCATCGATGCTGCTTTCATGCCCGCCCCGGCCAGGATGGCAAGAGCCTTCCTTGTCTTCTGTCGTCTTCCCCCTGGCAGCAAGGACAAAGCCTGGCACCCCAGAAACACTGGCCAACGGACCTCAACTGCTGCTTGGAGAGCCCGGTGAGGACCGGTGCCCTGGTCAGAAGCAAGGGCGCTGGCTGCTGCTTCTGCAAGCACAGGCAAGCCGCCCTCAAGGCGGAACATGCAAGCAGACAGAGCGGAGCGCCTCAAACCCGAATCTCTTCTGGCTTGCCCAGCTCTCCCCATTCACTAACCAGCCACCCGGACTCGGCCCCCCAGGGCTAAGCTGGCCGCCAGCTCCAGGCAGCCGAGCACTCAGGTGACAATGTCCACGGGCAGACTGAGCACAGGGCCCCCCACCTCTGCCCTGGCACACGCCTCCTTAGACACCCCGACCCCACCTTGACATGCTTCCCTAACTCCTCAGTCAGGCCACCTTTGACCAGTCCTCACCCTTGTCCGTGTCCACTGTCAGACCTCCAACAACCCCCACACGGTGCTGCTGTCCCTGGAAGCACCAGAACAGGGCCACAGCAGACAGAAGGAAAAGACAATGAGATGCTGGCTGTCACGCAGGTGCGGGCACAAGAAAAACAGACATCCTAATGACATACAAAATCATACACTAGAAACTGGTTAGTTCAGCGAAATTAAAGTAGATCAGAGACAGTGGCAAGGCTGAAGAGAGACAGGGCCGGGGAGACGCGATTTTGGGCAAGGTTGGGTGGAGCCCCTCTGCTTTCACCGGGAGATAGGAATTTAGGAGGAAAAGAGGGTGGAAGGAACCCTCTTTCTTCCTGTTAATGTAACAAGTAATCACTTATACATGTATTTAACAGACGTGCAGAGTGCACACTAACTGCACAGGAAGTCTGCGAGAGCCTTTACAAAGCGACACAACCCATCCAGGAAGGCCCGCCTGCAGCCCCGACTCACACTGCTTCCGGATGAATCTCTGGTTATACATCGCCTCCAAGAAAACAAAGTCACTGAAGATGGAGCGCTCCAATACAACACCTTGTCCTGTTAGAAACAGGGAAACAAAATCAAAAGTCAGACAGATAAAAACCAAGGCACTGGGAACGAGTAACTTCATTTTAGAAAGGCAAAAGTTATTTACAACACCCTTTGCATACCAAATATTTTCAGAAGCACAGACGTGCTCTTCTAAGTGAGAAATCATTTTCAAAAGTGAGAACACTTCTGGTTTGGGCAATGTAACATTGTCTCACCCTGTCAGCTATAACCTATCCAGTTAGGAGGAAGGCATTTCTGTCTGAAACCACAGCTTTCCCATCCCGTCTACCCACCCCAATCCCGCCCCGGCCCGACCACTCGGCCAGAACCCAGCAGCATCCACGACTCTCCCCCCGTGCCCCGTGCCCAATTCAGGAGTAAACACCAGCTTCCTCCCAAGCACATCTTGAACCCGACCGTTGTGCACGGCTTCCACAGCTCCCCCTCACAGAGCAAGGCCTCCCAGCAGCTGGCAAGCTCCCAGCCCCAGCCACCAGCTAGGCCCTGCCTCGGCCCTGGCCCCCGGCCGCTCTCCCAGCAACAGATGGGCACCGTCAGAGCTTGAGCCAGCTCACACCTCCAGAGGAAAAGCCACCTTGCCCAGGCAACTTCTCTGACCCCATCCTGTCCACTCCGAGCCCACTCACGGCACTCACGTCACAGTGGCCTCCTGTGACCACAGCCGCTCTGAGCACTGTCCCCACCGGGCTCCAGCCAGTGTCCTTGCACTCGGCCCTGCTGCGTCACCTCCCCACGTGGAAGCATGGCCCCGGCCCCACTGCAAAGCCCTTTGAGCCTCTCACTACCGGACGTGACACTAAACGTACGCACGTTTATGCTTTCTCTCCCTACCACAGTGTCAGTTCCAGCAGGCGGCAGCCTTCGCTCCTCCGCCCGGGCTCCTAGAACGCACCCAGCCCACGGCAGGCACTTACACAATGTGCAATGATTAATGGAACACAGGAAGAAACAGGGTTTCATTTAAAGTGCTCCTTCTTCACTCTAAGAAACAGGGAGTCCTGAGATAGGGTTGAAGTATGCTTCGAGAAGAATCTGGGGTAAGCCAAGTCTCAGTATTACATCCAAGGACCAAGCAGTTCCTACGAGCCAGGTCCTGGTACAGACCATCGTAAGGGAGACCGCATTCTTTCTCAGGAGCAGAACTAACCAAAATCAGGGCTTACGTTCATCTGAGGAAAAGCGTCACTAAGAAAATTTTGGAAAAGCAAGACAGTCACTAGACTCCTCTGTAAGTGTTCAGATAGAGCGACTCCCGCACCTCGGGGCACGCACTGTGTACAGGGACCCTGCTGGCTCAGCGCAGGTCTGTGGACAGTGCCGTCCGTTCCCGGGGGCCCCCGTTACAAGACCTTCCCACTCACACCCACGACACACCCCCTGAGGCGGCAGCGGAGCTGTCCGTAAATGAGCTCACCGGGTAACTGACGGCCGCCCCAGTGTGGCCACCACGGCCGTAAGAGGCGGGCACAAGGCTCCTGGGCGCAGATACACTGTTTGCCACCCACAGCTTCAGCGCCTCCGAGGCCTGGGGCTCTGGCCAAGCACGGCGGGGTCTGCGCGCCCCGCACGCTGGGCGGGAGGGGCCAAGTTTAACGCACGCTGCCGGTACCCAGGATGCTGCCATCCCTCCCGGACCGGACCCTGTTCTGCGCTGACTTTACGCCCTGACCACTGCTGCTTGTCTCCCCTGCCCCGAACAGTGCCTGCCCCCCTATCGGCCCTTGTCCATTTCTTGCCGGCTTCCAGAAACACAGCCCCCTTTCACCGGACGGGCCCGTGGGGCCCTGTGTGCTCTGCCTCCCCACCTCTGCACTTTCTCCAGGGTTAGGAGCGACCAGGGGATGGTGAATCCCAGACCATCCCTGGCCCTCAGAAACAGGCCTGTTTGGGGTGTCCCATCTCTGCGTGACCATGGCTCCACCGCACGAGTGTGAGTCCTCTTCGTCACAGCCCTTTACAGGCTCTCTTTCCTGCATCTGTGGATACCTCTCCCCCATGAGCCTAGAGCAGCGGCACGGAAATTCCCGACACTCCATAAACCTCACCCCAGTGCACAGAAATGAAATAATATTAAGCGCGCTTTATTCTGAAGCAGGAATAATGTGAACCTCGGGGAGTTTATGATCTTATTAAGAAGACAGAACTTGCCTCATCAAATACCCTCAAAGAAAAGCCCTACTTAGTGGCAATCTAAAACGGTGGGACCGCACAACAGGGGGGCCGCACCCGTGCTCAGCAGGTGCTCCAAGGCGTCCGCGTACTGCAGGAGGCGGCTGGCATACAGCCAGGACTGCAGGCGGTAGCTGTTGCCGTCATTACTCTTCGGGTCGTCGTAGAACTTCTCCACGCTGCAGCTGCCACTGAGCTCTATGTCCAGGGCCCTCCCATCTCCCGTAGTGCTGTCTGCGTAATGCACCCCTGCCTCCGGGAAGTGCTTTAAGCCTGAGAAGAAGAAATGCGACATGAGCGCGTCACCTGCCCTCAGCAGGCAGCCAGGACTCACAGAAACAAAGCCCCATCCGGACACATCGCAGAGGCTCGTCGGTTAGGACCCGGGCAAAGTTACCCTCACGCCTGTGTTTACACAGGATGCTGAAGACAATGTGTCCAGAACAGCTGCATTACAGGGTCCCCCTGGTGCCCCCGCAGGAGATCCTCCCAAAAAGGAGAGCAGGCCCAGCGCTGCAGGAGCCCCTCACGTATGAGCGGGCACCAGCCAGTCATCTACTGTAGGAAAGTACGACAGACAGACATCTTCACCAGGAGTCAGGGAACGGGGTTCAAAGCCTGGCTTTGTGCTAACCAGCCGTGTGACAACAGCTTCTTATCCATCTGGGAATGACAGCAGTAATCACGGCCCTACTCAGAGGAGTGCTACAAAGCTCAAATAAGACCGCTCATGTGAAAATGCTCTGCGGACATTATCAAGATAAAATTCCAATTCAAATTGACAACCACTATGGGTTTTTAAAATGTTCATTAAACTTAACACATTAAAAACAGCTTTTAATGTATTTTAAAAATGTAAAATACATACCCAGGGCCCAATTCTACCTAGTCAATGTTAAAGTGAAATCGAACTCAGATAGGCAACCGTGCACCTGGGAGGAAGGTACTCCACAAGACAGAAGTCCGTACCTAATTTCTCTGCTATTTCTTTCGCGAGCTTGCCTTTTCCAGAACATATATTGCCATCTACAGTTATCACTTTGCTGCGTTCTGTGAATCTTTTGGTTGTTCTTTCGCCGAGTATGTACGCCAAAGGGCCATACCGTAGCTTGCACTGTACACTTGTATGAATTCTTGCCTGAAAAACACAACAGCATGTGGTTACTGCAGACACCAGCAGCTATTAGGTAAAAATGCCAAGAAGACCCCTGGTGACAAAAATGCCAACATCTACATTTTTATTACCTATTGACTTGTTTAATTATCGGTCTCCCTACCCCACCCCCAGTGTAAGTTCATAAGGATAGGGGAACTGTCTGTTTTGTTCACTGCTAAATCCTCAGGGCCTGGAACAGGGCCTGGAACAGAATATGCATACCGTGTTCAATAAAAGTTGGATGGATGGATGGATGGATGGATGGATGGATGAAAGGAAGGCAGGGAGGAAGGAAAGGGAAATAAGAGAGAAAGGGAACAGAGCATTTTTCTAGGCCAGACTTCTATCCTGAGCTCTGGACCCAGTTACCTGCCTTTAAACAGCTCCATCTAGAGGTCCTGAAAATATCTGAAAGCTAGCAGGCTTAAAACTGAAATTTAACATCCATACCCTAACCCCCGAATCTGCTTTCCCTCCCACAGTCCCTATCCACTATCCAGCAAGCAAATCAGAGCACACATGGGAATCACTTTGGATATCCTCCACCTTCCTCCAACCCTATCATTACTCACAAAATCCTACTGACCTTAACTCTTAAACCTCTCTGGAGCCAACCGTCTCCTCCTTATCCCCGCCACAATGATTTTGCAGACATCTCACATCTCTCGTCTACGGTGCAATGCCTGCCTCATGTCCTATCTCCAACAAATCCAGTCTATTCTCTGCTCAAAAGGCAAATGATCTACCCCCACCACCACACACACAAAACACACACACACATCAAGAAAGAAACACAATCAAAAGGCAAACAACTAAGAAAATCCTTAGCGTATATATAGATTGTATGGATCAATGAGGAATATTGATAGAATAAGGAAAAATAGGAATGCACAGCTTATTTTGAAAGATTAAAAATAGCCAAAAACCATATGAAAAAAATGTTCACTCACTTATTTATTCATTCAACAAGTATTTATTAGGAGCCTACACAATGCAAAGCATGTTTTCTAGACAACGGATTTATGGAAATGAGCCAAAGGATTCAATGGGACAACAAAACAAAGAAATAATTACAGCAGAGCCTTGAGCAATGCAGGAGCTGGGGTGCCGACCTCCTCTCTTCTGTGCATTTGAAAATCCATGTACAACTTTTGACTCCCCAAAAACTTAACTACTAATACCCTACTGTTGACTGGAAGCCTTACTGATAACATGAACAACTGAATACACATATCTTGTTACATGTATTATTCACTGTTTCCTTACAATAAAGTAAGCTAGAGAAAACATTAAGATCATAAAGAAGAGAAAATACATTTACAATACTGTACTTATCAAAAAAAATCAAGTAAGTGGACCCATGCAGTTCAAACTTGTGTTGTTCAGGAGTCCACCGTACAGAGCATATTAAATAATCGCCATGGAGGGCAGCACGGCATATGGGATGGGCCACAGACTATACTGGGAGGCCAGGGAGCCTTTGAAGAGTGACATTTGAACAAAGACTGGAAGGTGCCAAGTGGACATTTGGAAGAGGGCCTTTCAGGCAGAGCAAACAGTAAGCAGAGAAGTCCTGGAGCCAAAGCACGGCAAGATCAGCAAGGCCAGCGTAGCTTATGCCAAGTGGACTAGGGAATGGATGAGGTGAGTAAGGGGGTGTTAATCATAACGTACCTTGCACCTTACAAATTAATCACTCTTTCCTCCAGGCTACCTATGAGCCGCGTGCAAACTGCTCCCATGTGTGTGCACGACTTGATCGTCTCACAGACGTGGCACAAAACAGGTGCACAGCAACGTTTGGTCAAGCAATCAGCCACTTACTGACTGCAATCTTTAGAAAGTGCTTTTCTATGGAATTATGGTACAATTCTCTAAAATTTCCCATCCTCAGTCCCGTTTACTGCTCTCTAGAATCATACAGAACAGATCCTTCATGACACATTTCCAATTCCTTCCACTATTCAAGTAACAAGGCATATACCCTTTCCATCTTACTCATTTTTCTCTGGACTTACTGAAGTTCATCTACATCCCCTGTAAAAGTACCAGGAAGTGAACACACTGTTACAAGGGCGTCTGTCTAGTGCTTGCACTGCAGCAGAGTATGACCCCCTTAATTCTGGGCCCCCCACTTCCACTAACACAATTCCCAGAACACTGGATATTAAAAAGGTAACCACTTTTCTACGTTTCTTCTCTTTGGTGGCCTGAATCATCTCCTGAAAACACGTACATGACTTTTTACAAGACTATGACACTGCTCTATTCAAAATCCTTTGAACAGAATCTTTAGCACGGAGATCAAGCAAGTCCCTTTACAGTCAATCGGACACGGATGCAGGGCCAGGCATTAGCAAGCAAAGAAGCGATTCTACAAGCACCGTTACAAATAGTTTCGTAAGGTTTCCGGCCTCGGTTCTTTGGCTTCTTGTGTTCCCTCCGCCTTGATGTCATCCCGCCGTTGTCTACCGTGGGAAGTTCTCCTAAGCCGTTCTCATCTAACCTTAGAGCCTCTTCGGGTTCTGCTCCACGGCACATCCCCGCGGCGCCTGGCCAGGGCTGAGCCCTAACTGGCTTTGACCGCGCTGCTACGTTCGTCAGCGGATAAACACCACCCCAGGCTCTCCCTGGCTCACCCACACCTGCTCGTGCGTCCAGCGCCCAACTGCACGGAGGCACCTGCAAGCCGACCTCCCGCACCAAGGCAGCCAGGCGGCCGATTCACCTCCGTCCCCAGCGTTCTGCTTGGAGAACATGACCTGGAGAAGCTCCCGGCCCCTGTGAGCTCTGCCGCAACTCAGGACCAAAAATGCCGGGGGCAGCGGGGGTCCCCCAGAGAGTGACCCTAGAAGCCGCTGCCCAGACGCCCGGGCAGATGAGGAAGGGTCGGCGCCGGGAGGACAGGCCAGCACCCGCCCCCCGCCCGCCTGCTCCCCGCCTCACCACGCGCTGGGCGACCACCGCCAGGCCCTGCGCCGACGCCGACGCTGGGACCACCCTCAGCAGCCTCAAGGCCATTGCTCCGCGGTGGGCACCGGCTCAAGGACCCGAGGGGACGCGGTCGCGACGGGGTCCTCTTCCGCGGCCGGCGCGCCGCCGTGACGTCACGGCCGGGCTGCCCGGGCGGCGCCTGCCGGGAGCTTCCGGGCGACGGGCGCAGGCGCCAAGAGCTGGGTCTGGGGTCCCGGCCGCTGGCCGCTGGCCGCTTGCCGCTTGGGGCCGGCTGCCCCTCCGCCTGCGCCCCGCCCGGGCCTTGCAGGGTCCGGCCGCCCGACCTGGGCCTGGGGCCGCGACAGAGGCTCTGGAGACCCTCTGCGGGGGTTCCGAGGTCGTGCGGGGCGCGGAGCCGAGGCCTCCCCTGAGCTGGCAGCTGCTGCGCCCGGGACGCCCCCCGCCCTCCCACATTCCCCGGGCTGGCAAGTGCAGACCTGAAAGTCACCTGGACCTCTCTCGGTGGCCCGAAGCCCGTCCGAGCCCGGAAGGTAGCTCGGGACTGGGCGGGGCAGGGACAGGAGGCAGCCACGATGGTGGACATGGCCTCTCCGCCCCGGGGCGCCGGGCAGGGGTCCCCGTCCTCGTCCTCCCGGCTGGGTTACGAGGGACCCCAGGCCTGATAGGGCCTCTAACACCTCGGATGGCATCCGAACACACAAGCGCAGTGGGCTCTCGGTTAACTGCAGTCCTTCCAGGGGTCAGGTTAGCACGAGTTGACTTTAACGCGAGGTTTCTTTCCTACTAGCCTTACGTTCGGGAGGGTTTTAAGCGTCGCACATTGTCGGGCTCATGGTTCTTAACTCCCGAAGTTTTCTATCGTTTAACTTCCATTTGGTTCTCAACTTTTCGGAATGATAGTGGAATTGTTTGCTAGGGTGGGAATGCGGTTCTGGAAACGAAGGTCTTTCAGCAGATATTTCCCTAATTCGAAAATTCCTGCTGGGCCGAAATGCAGAGCCCTAGTCCGCGGAACCAGAGTGACTTAGAAGATCTGGGATGGGCCCTGAACTGCGGTGGAAATGGTCTGCATTGAGAGAAACACTGTTCTAAACTCTTCGTTCCCAGAGAGCAGGGGCCATGTTCATGTCCTGCCCCGTGTCCCCAGCCCCAAGCAAAGCTCCTGACACTTTGCAGGTGCACCTCCAGTAAGCAGGTGCGACCAGGGAGCCCTAAGCCCTCCAGCCCCGTGGGGTTACCACCTACCCAAGGCCTCCCTCCACATCCTGTCTCGGGTCAGAGTTCAGGGAAGGGCTCTCTGTCCTCTTCTCATCTTACTTTGTTATCTATCCCATTCACCTGTTGCCTCTAGCGCTCCAGTTTTCTTGCCCAGCTTTACCCCAGATGAAGACACATCTTTTATGTTCTTTCCCAAGACAAAGCCCTTGTGTGAGCAACTGGTCCTGAGGACAGAGTGAGACAGAGAGAGAGACCGCAGTCACACATCCCTGCCAGGTGATGCATGGTCAGGCCTCGCAGGCCCTCTCCACCACTGTTTTGGGAGCTGCCTCCCTGTCAAGGCCTCTTCCAGACCTGGCCTCCTCTTCTCCCTGGTACCTCCTCCAGGGATGGATCCTGAGACAGAACGACAGGGGACAGAGTCCGTGGGGCACAGCTCTGAACACTAACATTCATGATGAATATTGAAGTAAGAGATATTATATATAATGCTTCCCAACTACTCTTTGTAAATCAAAATTTATTTAAACAGGTTAATCTTGTAACTACAGTAAGTTAAGCTCTTGGTACACAGAAATAGATAATATGTTTCAAGTGTTCCTCATTGTGAGACCATTCATAAACACTGTTATGGGACTTTGGTAGCCAGCTCCAACCAGTACTGTCTTTCCCTGTCCAGAAACACTGGAAAAGGAAAACATGCACTCAGGAAATTCACTTCCAAGTGAGCTTCATTTATAAATATCCTGCAAGTTACACTTCCGTCCAGCTGCAGTTTGAGTGACTGTATAATCACTACCACAGTGAAACCAAATGAGAGAAAATTCAATGTTGATTCATAAGAAAAAGTTGACGTTGCTGGATCAAGAGGAGATACTTGCTCTATCCTGAGATCACATGACCTTTGAGACTTTACTAATGAGATTCACGTTTATGTAGTACACACTTACAGAACACTATCCCCCAAATCCTAACCTGTCCAGTGTCCATCTGAGATACTACATAATACCTGAGGGTCAGTACCGACTAGCTGTGTAAAGCACATGATGGAAACCTCACCAGACCCGGGCAGTTCCGTGCATGCATCCGGCTGCAGGTACAGCCTGATCTAGGTCTCAAGCAGTATTCTCCCTGTGTCACCTCTGACTTCTGCTTCCCTGAGAACTTGGTACCCCACAAAACCCCAAGCATGGATGTTTGTGGCAGTTGTGTTATAATAGCCAGATGCTGGAGTCAGGTGGGACGTCCTTCAGAGGGGGAGTGGTGAGCAGACTGACAGGTGCACACCAGGGAGCGCGGTCAGCACTGAAGTGGAAAAGAAGAACAAATGAGGAATCGCTACGTGGAGAATGACTCCCGAGAAGGTGTAACTCCATTTACACAACATCTTGAAATGACGTTTTGGAGACAGTACACATTAGTAGCTGCAGGGGTCAGCAGTGGAGGTAGGTTTGCAGGGAGAGGGAGGGAAGTGATGCACTTATAAAAGACCGGCTTGAGGAATCCGTGTGGCGTTGGGCAGTGCAGTGTCTTGATTGTGGTGGTGGACCCAAAACCTACACAGATGAAAACATTCTGTAAAACTTAGCACACACACTGACGCAGACACAAATAAGTACGGGAAATGCGGGAAGTCTGAAGAAGGTGAGTGGACCAAATGAGCATCCACGTCCTGGTGGTGATACTGTATGACAGTTATGCAAATGTGATTGTTGGGAGAAATTGGGCAAAGTTTACAAAGGATCTCTGTGTTATTTCTTAACAACTGCGTGTGAATCTGCAATTACCTCAGTAAAGTCTTTAATAAAGATGTCGGTAGTGTTTATATGGGACTTCTCTGTTCTGTCCCATCATCTATGTGTCTCAACAATACCACAGACTGAGGACTAGCTATAGAGTAAGTCTCCAAATCGATAGGCTAATTCCTCCAACTTTATTCTCCTTCGAAATTGGTTTAGCTGTTCTACTACTTTTGCCTCTTTAGGCAAAAAGTTTAGGATCGTCTTCTCTGCGTTTACAGAAACTCTTGCTGCAGTTTGGGTAGTAATTGTGTTAAAACTGTGTAGCAGTTTGGGGAGGATCGGCCTCTTGCTGTGCTGACTCCTCCCATCCCTGTGCAGCAGATGCCCCGCATTTATTTGCGCCCTCTCTAACTCCTGCCGCTGGCACCGCACACCTTCCAGCATGGGAGTTCGGCAGTTTTGTTAGGTCTGCACCTAAATACTTAAAAAACGTTTAGTGCTTTCGAATGATATTTTAAATTTTGTGTTCCTTGTGTTCGTTGCTAGTACATGACATAGCTGGCTTTTGTGTGCTCAGTTTGTATCCCGTGGCCTTGCTGAAACACTGTTAGTTCTAGAAGATGGTGTGTCAATTTCTATGCAGACAACTGTGTCATCTGTAAGGAGCGGTTTTATTTCGTTCCCTCCAACCTGGATGCCCTTCACTTCTTTTCCCGTCTTTCCTGCACCAGCTGGAACTTCCGGTTCTGTGGGGGGCAGCAGTGGCAAGAGCCGACCTCCTTGCATTCTTAGGGGGAAACACTCAGGTTTTGGTTATGTGTGATGCTAACTCCAGGAGACTTGTAAATGCTCTTTAGGAAGTTGGAGCAGCTCCCTCGGTTCTTTGTTTCCTGAGAATTGTTCATTGTTACCATGAATGACGTTAGATTCTGTTAAGCAGTTTCTCTGCATCTGTTGATAGAAGCATGTGACTTTTCTGCTCTAGCCTGTTAATACAGTGGATCTCAGTGATTGGTTTTTGAATCCTGAACCAACCTTGTATCCCTGGACTAAACCCCACATGGTCATATTGTGTCATACTTTTTGTATATTGCTGAATCCCATTTGCAAATATTTTAAAAAACAATTTTACATGTATATTCATGAGAGAGATGGGCTGTAGTTTTCACTTTGGACCATCTTTGTAAGGCTATAGTATCAGGATAATACTGGATTCATAACATTACCTGGGAAGTGTTCCTGTTTTACTTTCCCCAACCACTTCTTGTTGGTGGACTCCTGACTGCCCCCTTTGCCAGTGATGCTGGGCTCAGCTGGTGGCATTGGGGGGACTGTCCATACACACAGAGGAAGAAGGAGCCCCCTGGGCTGGGACTCCTGTACTCAGCACATCTGTCCTTCAGGTGTAAAGGGGGAAACAAAGACATTCTGAGGGGAAGGAGCACTGAGAGACGTTCCCAGCAGACCCCACCCCTAAAGTGTGGCTACAGGAGAACCGTGGCGTGGGCGTAAACAGAATAGACCTCCTTCGTGAGCTTCTCACATCCCATCGGATGGTTGAAGCATGTCTTTGTGGAGGAAACAGAACAATCACATGGAGAAGTTGGGGAGGGTACAAGGACGTCAACAAAAGTTGACTATTCGCCCGAAGTGGTAAAGCAGGGATATGACAGATTGTGAGCAACCGCGAAAGAAACCACACGATACAGAACGGCACTGCCCAAACACCACCTCCTAAGCAAGTGGAATTATTATTATGACACTATAACTAAATCAAGATGGATCTCTGAAAAATATAAAGGTTTCCAACCAAAAGGTAAGAGGAAAGAAGCAGAGGAAAGAAAGAAAAAGGAAAACAGACATAAGCACTAACAATTACTCGATAACCTAAATTATCCAAATTGATTTTGTAATTTCAAAACTGCCCCCCCCAAAAAAATTCCCACACCCAGATGATTTCACTGGAGAATTTTGCCAAACACTTGAAGACTTAACTCTATACAGTCTTCTCTGGAAAATAGAGGAAGAGGGAATGCTCCCCAGCCCATTTTATGGTACCCAGACAGAAAAAGATAGCACCAAAAGAAAGAAAAAAACATAGGCCAATATTTCTCATGAACTTAGATGCAAAAATTCACAATTCACAAACTGTTATCAGATTGAATCCAGCAATGAATAAAAAATGAGGACCACACCACCACCAAATGGGATTTGTTTAAAGGTTGCAAAGCTGATTTGATATTCAAAGTCAGTCACTGCAATCCGCCTTAACAGGTAAAGAAGAAAAATCAGTGGTCAGAACACCTGCAGTAGAAGACGCATTTGACAAAATACAACACTCATTCACGTTTAAGAAAAACAAAAACATAACAAAACAGACCGTCCTGGCAAGCAGGGAAGAAGGGAGGAGCTGCTTCAACTTGGTAAGGAACGTCTACAAACCCCACAGCTGACATCACACTTGATGGTGAAGGGCTGATGCTTTCCTTCTTATACTAGAGGAAGCAGCAAAGATACCCGCTTTCCCTGCTCTCATTCACCAGAGCCTTGGAATCCTAAACAGTACAGAAAGGCAGGAATAAAAAGGATATAAAAGGAAGAAATTACACTGCCTTTATCCATAGGTTACATGATTGGCTAGGTAGAAAATCCAAAGCAATATACCCCAAAGAGCCCCTAGGACTAATAAATGAGGTCTGTGAGCTTGCAGGTTACAAGGTCAATGCACAAAAATCTGCATTTCTATATATTACGAACAAATAAGTGGAGGCTGAAATTTAAAAATGCAATACCATTTATGATTGCTCCAGAAAAAAAAAAAATGTAATACTTACGTATCATCTAGCAAAGCATGTATAGGATCTGTATGCTGCAAACCACAAACCACCAGAGAAAGAAGTCAGAGAAAACCAATCGCTGGAGAGACTTGCTGTGTCACTGTGTTGGAAGACTCAGCAGAGCAACAATGCCAGTTCTCCTCAAAATGATTGTAGGCTTCATGCAGTTCCTACCAAAACCCCGTAAAGATCCTTTGTACACATAAACAAGCTTATTATGAAATTTATAAGGAAATGTACAGGCCCTAGAATAGCCGTAATCATTTTGAAAAAGAATAAAGTGGGGGGAACCAATCATTCTTGCAATGTTAAGAATTTACTAAATAGCTACATTTCTCAAGCCCGTGCAGTATTGGTGGAGGGACAAACACATAGATCAACAGAACAGAGGACCAGAAATAAGCCAACACAGATACCCTCACCTGATGTTTTATAAAGGTACAAATGCAATTCAGTAAAGGAAGGATAGCTTCTTGCACAATGGTGTCGCAGAAACTGGACATCCTTGATAATGACCTTCACACCATATGCAAAAATTAACTCAAAACAGATCACAGACCTAAATGTAAAAGTGACTATACAGCTTTTAGAAAACAGTCCTAGAATAAAACCTTCAGGACCCGGGATGAGGGGAAGAATTCTTGGACTTGACATCAAGAGCATGATACACAGAAGGAAAACAAGCTACATTGGAACCCAGCAAAATTTAAATGTTTGTTCTACAGGGACTTTACCAAACAGGCAGACATCAGATGGGGAGGAAAACGTGTGCAATTTGACAAAGGATTTGCATCTAGAATATGTAAAGAGCTCCCAAAACTGAACATTAACAATCCACTTAAAAAATGGGAGGCATGCCTGGATGGCTCAGTTAATTAAGCACCCAACTCTTGATTTTGGCTGAGGTCATGATCTCAGGGTCCTGGGATCAAGCGCTATATTGGGCTTCCCACTCAGCTTGGAGTCTGCTTGAGATTCTCTCTCTCCCTCTGCCCCTCCTCCTGCTAGTGCTCTCTCTCTCAAATAAATCTTAAAAAAAAAAAAATAGGAAAGAGATGTGAACAGACTTCACTGACGAGGACATGCGGATGGCCAGTAAGCACAGGAAAGGATGCTCAACATCATTAGCAATTAGAGAAATGTAAATCAAACCACAATGAGACACCACTGCGTACTTTCCAGAAAGGCTAAGTAAGACACAGTGATGACACTGATGCTGGAGAAGATGCCCAAACTGCTCACTTGCTCACTGCTGGCAGGAACAGAAAATGGCACAGCCTCTCTGCCAAAGAGTTGGCAGTTCCCTTTAGCACTAAAAATGAGCTATAATACAACAATGATGCAAATGAGCACTTGTTCTCCTGGGCATTTACCCCAGAGAAATGAAAACTTAGCTTCACAGAGAGACTTGTACTTGAGTGTTGCTTGCACGTTCACGCCTCACAGCTGGCAACCGGGAACACCCCCGCGTGTCCTTCAACAGGTGAACGGTTCAGCCGTGGTGCAGAACACTTGTTGGCAACAAAAACAGACTGTTGATACACAGCCTGGATGGACCTCCAGAGAATTTTGTTGAATGGAAAGAACCAATCTCAAAAGATTGCACACACTATGATTCTGTTTATGTAACATCCTTGAAATAACAACATTATAGAGACAGAGAACAGATTCGTGGTTGCCAGAGGCTAGGACATCAAGTGTGTGTCCTGTGGTGATGGAAACATTCCACATGCTATGAAGGTGGTAGTCCACAAAGCTACACGGGTGATAAAACTACGGAGCTACATGTGTGCACACACATGCACACACACATGAACACACACAGATGAGTGCATGTATAACTGGTGGGATGTGAATCCATTCTGTGGGTTGCATTGAAGTCAGTGTCCTGATACTGAGCTGAGCTAGTCATGCAGGATGGTGTCATCCAGGAAGGCTGGGCAAAGCACACAGAGAACCTCCCTCCATATTTCTCTGCAACTTCCTGTAAATCTCTCATTATTTCAAAAGAGAAAGTTTAAAAATTGTGTTCTATGGACCAGCAACAAAGGAACAGAGGTAATTTAATTTAAAAAATAAAAAATAAGTGTTGGGGAGGCTCCAGACTGCTGGGACCCTCACACACTGCTCATGGGAGCGAAAAGTCGGTGCACCCACCCTGGAAAACAGTTTGGCAGTTCCTACTAAACCTACCAAAACACATACCTCATGTTGCAGCAATTATCGGTGTCATTTACGTGTACCTCGGTCCAGCCTACGCACACAGCTAGCAAAACTCAGTGTACGTTAGTGAAAAGAAATGTTCACCACGGTATTAGCCATAATAATAATAATAATAGGCATCATCCCTAACACTGTCCACAGAGTCAATGCATAGTGCACTGTGATACGTTTACACAGTGCAATATTACACATGATATGTATGAATCATTGCTACATGCAAAAACATCAAGGATTCACTCAAGCATCATAATGAAAGAAACATGAAAGCATCTTCACAACTGCATTCATAAGAACCTCAAAAAACCCAAAGTGACCGCTGCCCTTTGTGAAAACAAAAACAGATAAAGGTTTATTATTTCTGTGTGGTTCTATAGTTTGCTATATTTCATTTGCAGATTTACTTTAAAAAGCATAAAGTGCAATATAAGATAGCATTTTATTATCACTACAAATTAGATTTCAGGATGTTTGACTGTCCTATTGTGAAGGGTGACCTAGCCCAAGAGCCTTTTTCAAGGCAGCCTTAAATTCCTTGTTCCTCAGACAGTAGATCAACGGGTTGATTATTGGGGTGAGGACAGTGTAAACAGCAGAGATGAGCTTGTTGGAGCTCCGGGAATCGATGGCCTGGGGCCGGATGTACATGAAGATCATGGCCGTATAGAAGATGGTGACCACGGTGAGGTGGGAGGCACAAGTGGAGAAGGCTCTCCAGCGTCCAGTGGCCGAGGGGATGCGCAGGACAGCCAGGGTGATGTGTCCATAGGAGAGCACGGTGGCCATGAGGGGAAACACCAGGATGATGAAGGCAAGGATGAAGTCCACCAGCTCTGCAGTCGAGAAGTCTGTGCAGGCTAGTTTGAGGATAGGGGAAATGTCACAGAAGAAGTGGTTCACGATATTGGAGCCACAGAACGTGGCGCTGGAGATAAAGTACACCTTGATGGCGGAGATGGAGAAGCCGCTCACAAAGGAGAAGACCACCAGCTGGACGCAGAGCCCCATGGTCATGATGACTTGGTAGCACAGGGGGTGGCAGATGGCCACGTAGCGATCATAGGCCATGGAGGCCAGGAGCACGCATTCAGTGCACACCAAGGAGCTGAAGAAGTAGAGCTGAGTCATGCACCCAACAAAGGAGATGTGTTTCTGCTGCAGGAGGAAACCACCCAGCATCTTGGGGTTGATGTCAGATACGTACCAGATCTCCAGAAAAGACATGGAGCCCAGAAAGTAGTACATGGGCCTGTGGAGGGAGGAGCTGGTCTGGACGGTGAGGATGATGGCCAGGTTCTCCACCAGCACAAAGAGGTAGGTGAGCAGGAAGAGGAGGAAGAGCACATACTGCAGCCGAGGGGCCGTGGGGAAGCCCACCAGGATGAACATGCTGACCTGGGTGACATTCTCTCCCCTCATCCTTGTGTGCTGGGAGCCTGCAAAACACCACCATTCCAGAGTGAGGGGCTGTGGGGCCTCAGGGGGAGAAGGCAGAGCTCACCCTGCAGGAGAGTTTCAGCCCAGAGATCGGACGCCTGGCTCCATGAGCAGCGAAGGGAGCAGAAACTGTCTCCAAGTGAAGCCTTCCCCATCAGGAAGTTCCTGGTGTGCTTGGGGCTGGTCACGCTAAGAGTGGGGCTCTGGAATGCCCACCCACGTCCTCCCCCAAGTATCCCACGGTGGTCCTGTTTCCCTACAACCTGGAGTTCTCCAAAGATTCTAAAGACGATAGGCTCTCTGCAGCCAGTGTTACCTGGGCCTGTCATTGGTCATCGGGCACGCTCTTTCTAAATCAGTGGATACCGAACCTTCCACCTGATTTCAGAGTTGATTTTGTAAGAGGAAGGGACAGCAGCAGGGCTCATGGGACGGTGGGATATGGTGTCCCAGTTTAGCCAGACCCTGGACCCAGACATACCCACAGGGCTGGGGGTCTTTGGGAGTAGCGGAAGTCTCCCAGGCCAAGAGGGGAGAGTGGTCACATATCTATCTTTGTGCCATCTCAAAACCCCTGAAAATATGACAAAGGAGTAAAAAGATAAAAACACAGGGATGCCTGGGTTGCTCAGTCGGTTAAGCATCTGCCTTCAGCTCAAGTCATGATCCTGGGGTCCTGGGATTGAGCCTGGTGTGTGTGGGGCTCCCCGATTAGCAGGGAGCCTCCTTCTCCCTCTGCCCCTCACCCTGTTTATGCTCGCTTGCGCTCTCTCTCTCTCTCTCAAATAAATAAATAAATAAAACCTTAAAAAGAAGATAAAAACCCATAACATCAGAACATCAAAAGAGACCAGAAGGGGGAAATCAGCAAGGGAAGGATTTTGAACCAATTCTGGAGGAAAGAAAGCAGATGGCAGAAAGGTGACTGGGGCAGCAAGAGTAGAGAAGTCTACCAACAAAAAGGAGAATTACAGACCAATATCCCTGATGAACATGGATACCAAAATACTTGGCAAGATCCTAGTCAATAGGATCCAACAGTACATTAAAAGGATTATTCACCACAACCAGGTGGGATTTATTCTTGGGATGCAAGTGTGATTCAACATTCGCAAATCAATCAATGCGATAGGTCACATTAATAAAAGAAAAGACAAGAACCATATGATCCTCTCGATCGATGCAGAGAAAGCATTTGACAAAATACAGCATCCTTTCCTGATTAAAACTCTTCAAAATACAAGGATTGAGGGAACATATCTCAATATCATAAAAGCCATCTATGAAAAGCCCCCAGCAAATATCATTCTCAATGGGGAAAAACAGAGCTTTTCCCTTAAGGTCAGGAACACGACAAGGATGTCCACTCTTGCCATTATTGTTCAACATAGTACTAGAAGTCCTAGCCTCAGCAATCAGACAACAAAAAGAAATAAAAGGCATTCAAATTGGCAAAGAAGAAGTCAAATTCTCACTCTTCACAGATGACATGATACTTTATGTGGAAAACCCAAAAGACTCCATCCCCAAATTACTAGAACTCATACAGTAATTCAGCAATGTGGCAGGATACAAAATCAATGCACAGAAATCAGTTGCATTTCTATACACTAACAATGTAACAAGAAAGAGAAATTAATGAATCGATTCCATTTACAACAGTTCCAAAAACCATAAGATAGGTCATAAGATAGGAATAAACCTAACCAAAGAGGTAAAGGATCTGTACTCTAGAAACTATAGAATACTTATGAAAGAAATTGAGAAAGACACAAAGAAATGGAAAAACATTCCATGCTCATGGATTGGAAGAATAAACATTGTTAAAATGTCTATGCTGCCCAGAGCAATTTACACTTTCAGTGCAATCCCTATCAAAATACCATCGACATTTTTCACAGATCTGGAACAAATAATCCTAAAATTTGTATGGAACCAGAAAAGACCCCGAATAGCCAGAGGAATGTTGAAAAAGAAAAGCAAAGCTGGCGGCATCACAATTCCGGACTTCCAGCTCTATTACAAAGCTGTCATCATCAAGACAGTATGGTACTGGCATGAAAACAGACACATAGATCAATGGAACAGAATAGAGAGCCCAGAAATGGACCCTCAACTCTATGGTCAACTAGTCTTTGACAAAGCAGGAAAGAATATCCAATGGGGAAAAGATAGTCTCTTCAACAAATGGTGTTGGGAAAATTGGACAACAACATGCAGAAGAATAAAACTGGACCACTCTCTTACACCACACACAAAGATAAACTCAAAATGGATGAAAGACCTCAATGTGACACAGGAATCCATCAAAATCCTCTGACTTCAGCCACAGCAACTTCTTTCAAGACACGTCAGATGTCTGACAGGTGTGATAGGGAAAGGTGGAGGGAGTGAAAACCGGGCTCCTACATGCAGTTTGCTTCCAGAACAGTCTAGTGGCTGCCCCCACATGGCCCTCCCCATCCTGTGTGTGGGTCCCCAGAGGCGGCCTTGATGGGACAAAGGGCCATGTCACCCTCATCGTCCTCATCACTGACCAAGTATTTTAACATGAAACACGTCCTGTCATGGTCACCAGGACCCTGGAAAACAAGGCTGACATCTTCACGTTCAGATGAGTCAGACTCAAAGCAAAATGTTTGGGGGCTCACCCGGGATCGTGGCAGCACCAGGACACAAACCCGGGCCCTCTGACCCCATGGCTGCCACTTCTTCCACCAGATATCAACAAGAGAGAAAACAAACCCATCTGGCTGTGGCCAGAAATCTGGAATTGTTAAGACGGATAGATGGTGTTGCAGGCTGCCTTCTGACAGGACTCTAATAGGCTATGCAAACCAAAGGTCACAAAAAGAAAGTATTTTTCAGCAGGACAGGCAGACAATGCCCTTTAAGAAAGAAATGCTGGCTATGTATGTTTGTCACATCTATACTTGGAATACCATGCAGTCACTGAGAAGGAACCCATCTCTCTACAGACATGGAATGATTTCCAAGACACACAGTTAGATTTTCTAGATATTCTTAGCAGCACGTACAGTGGGCCTCCACTGGTGTACATATGGGCACATACGTGGGACGACTGTGTGTGGCCGTCACACAGGGAACTCGGCATGCCCGTTGCCCTGGCTGGGAAGCAGGTGGCTGGAACACAGTGGCAGACGGAAAGCTTTCTATGGTATATTTTTGCTACTTTTTCCATTTTGTTTCATGTGTGTTATCTATTCAAAACAGTAATCTGTTACTTATTTTTAAATTCTCAAATTCTCCTGTAAAAAGAAGATGTTATGTGCTGGATTAAACATTCAGCAGGTAAACATTTCCCTAAGCCGTGGTTCCACATCCATGCGGAAAACACACAGACAGACTGGGCCACTGGGAGTGTGCCTCTCATGATTGGCAAAAGCCTCAAATGTGGTATCGTGCAGAATAATGATGCAACAAGGAGGTGCAATGAGAAAGTACAGAATCACAACAAAATCATCTCTCTTCCCAAAAGAGTAGAGAAATGAAAACACAGAAAGGAAAACCTGAAGAGAAGTATAATAGAAACATAGCTGACCCTTGAGCAAGTGGGGGTGATGGGCACTGACCCCCATGCCATCAAAGATCCGTGTTATAGCTTCTGACTCCCCAGAAATCTAACTATGGATAGCCCACTGGTGACCGGGAGCCTTACCGACACCATCAACAGTCGATGAACATGTATGTTGTATGTTTGTATGTTGTATGTATTATACATGGTATTCTTACAATAAACTCAGCTAGAGGAAAGAAAACGTGATTAAGAAAATCATACATTGGGGCACCTGGGTGGCTCAGTCGTTAAGCGTCTGCCTTCAGCTCAGGTCATGATCCCAGGGTCCTGGGATCGAGCCCTGCATCGGGTTCCCTGCTCGGCGGGAAGCCTGCTTCTCCCTCTCCCACTCCCCCTGTTTGTGTTCCCTCTCTCACTGTCTCTCTCTCTGTCAAATAAATAAATAAATAAGAATCTTAAAAAAAAAAAGAAAATATACATTTACAGAACTATAGTGTATTTATCAAAAAAATCCGCATATAAGTGGACTGCTCAGTTCAAACCTCTGTTGTGCAAAGGTCAACTGTGTATTAATGGCATTATCAGGGCATGAATAAGTAGGCAAATTATTACGAATCTAGATAACTTAATATGAATCTAACAGATCCTTAGAGAAAAATGTGTAGGAAATACCTGGTCAGTGCCTGGCCTGCAGAGAGCATTTCGTAACAGTGGTAGTAACATGCACAGGAGTTGAATTAATTAAATGCAGTAAGACAGTCTTCTTGTCCATTTACTGGTTAAACCATAATGTACACCATAATGGGGTGCGGGATGGAACTGCGCAAAGTGGAGGCCCCCAGCCTCGTGCTCACCTTGCTTATGCCTAGGGTGCTCCCGGCCCTCCCCCACCCCGGCTGGTCCTGCTCTTGGGCCTGTCACCACACACCCGCCATCATGGTAGTTCTGCTCCCCTGTTTGCACCTGCCTGTGTTCTTGGTCTCTGCCCGCTGCACTTCCCAAGGCAAGAGCTATGCCTCCTCGCTCCCCACTGGACCGGACACCAAGCATGATTGCCGACACACAAGATGAGCTCCACGAACCCTAAGGGGGTGGGAAGCACAGGACAGAAGAGTTGCAGATGATAATGCAACCCAGCCAAAGATGCTGAAGGAGAGATGGTACCACACAGCTGCTCCCTCTTCCCTCTCCTTCTAGTCCTCAAATCCCAGAGAACTTTCTTAGAAAATACAAAAATAGAGGGAAACCCTCATGATGCAGGAAGCTAGGGAGGAGAGCGGGCCATGCCCCAAGCACCTAGAAGATGTCACCAGACTCCTGAACACAGAAGAGAAGAAATGCTAATGAAGCCACGCACCCGCAGAGCGTGCAGGAGCCCCATGGCTCAGGGGACACGAGGCGGGAATGTGACCTGGGTTCTCTGACTAGGAGGGCTGGGAGGAGCGAGCTGTATGA